GTAATATCTACTGGTCATCCAATCCTGGCCGTTTGCATAGTGTGAGTCCATCCAATGAATCAGAAATTTCCAACTTTATCCTCAGGAGCTTTCACAAAGACTGTTTCCCCATTTGGATACAAGCAATAGTTATCCCCGTCAAGTGCACATCTGTGATCAATAAAAGTCGCGAAGATCAACTTGTCAGTAGGCTGTTTGAGTTTTGGATGTCAATCAATATTGTGGTCCAGTGTGGTTCCCAGATCAGGTTATAAAGACTCAAGAGAACTAATGGGGGCTTTAACCATGTTGACAAGAGCATATCAAGTTGGACAGCCAGGTATTGAGCAAGTTGGTGATGATAATGTGGTAAAAGGTAAGGAGTTTGGGTCTGAACACAAAGAAGTTGTTGATTGGGATAAACCAAGTTGACAGAAGGTATCCTTCAAGTCTTCAGTCAACGTAGATGATATAGTAGAAGAATGTGGAAAATCTGAGGATGATAATAAATGGGAGTCTAGTTCTTCTGTAGAATACAAATAAGATGATAAATTTGATAAAGGTGAGGAGGTTGGTTCATCAATAGAACACAATGATGAAGGTGAAGTGTTATCCTTGTCATTTTCAAAGACTGAAGTGAAATGACCCATCTTTGATTATTGTCCCTTGAATAGAAGTTTTGAGCTTGTGCTAATATTAATTTGAGCGGATATTACTCTTTTGAATAGGTCTTTCTCATTTGATTTGACCTTTGGGATCAGTGAACAATTGAAAGAGGGGAATACAATGAGGACTTTAATAGGAAAGCCTCTCATTTGAGGTGTTCTTTCCATCTTTGATTGACAAGGAATGGTGGCCGTCACTCCCTCCAGCCCGCTCTCACAGATATTTGGGTAATAAGATGCTTGTTTGTTTGTCTTCCAAGAAAGCTTGATATGATGTATTTATGTCTTGAAAGGGCATGTAAACATCCTTTCAATCATATCTATACAGGCACTTATGGGTGCAGAAATAATTCCCAGTATCTCCTTTTTTATAAAGGCGAATTGAGTGACTTTTTTGACAGAAGCACCAAAGGCACTGTTCTATCTTCAGTCACAGGGCAAAAAGATCAAGGAATATATCCAGCTTCAACCAGGTATGTGGGTGTAAGAAAGGGCTGGAACTTGACACAGATCCCATAGCTCAACAAGATGAGATAAAGGCTTTCACAAAGCAAGGCTATCTTTAGGATATGAACAATACTCTTAATACGATGGCAATAAAATAAATTCCAATTCCGATTCCTAATTTTAATAATCCTAATCCCAATTCCAATTCCTAATTTTAGTGAATCCCAATCCTAATTCCAATTCCTTATTTTAATGGATTTCAATCCTAATTCCAATTCCTAATTCAATAACTCCCAATCCCAATTCCAATTCCAATTCCTAATTTTAATAGATATATATAACCACCATTACATAACATATCTATCAAGTATTCCATCACATAAAGGATTCATGGAGAGATTCAGCATATTCAGAAGAGTGAGAACTGTAGGTTGAATGAATGGACCAAGAGAAATCTTGGAAAAAGATGTAGTCAGTCTCTTTCCTTTTGAAATGATTGTAAAAGATTCAGGAAAATAAAGTATACTGATATCTTACCTTGTGCCCGAACATTCTCTTGCCTTTAGATTCATCCCTTCATTCTTCCTCGGGCTCCTCCACAATGGTGTAGAGCACTCTGTAGCGCTGCGCAGATAACAGTTCGCTCTGTGATATAAATCAAAAGGGAAAAGTGGCAAAAAAGAAATGAGTAACCGATGCAAGGGGATTGATGATTGAATGAAAGAATATGATAATTGGAATTTGGAGACACATACCAATGGTTTCCTGGAAGTTTTTCGGGGGCAAACTCTCTTGATAGTGCTCTTGATGATAAGGTTGGGTGTTCGATGAGGTGATTTGACACTACCATCGGGGTTCATAAGCAGAGGTGGGCCCGAGTAGATGACACGAGGTCTTGGTGCAATATGAGAGGGGTTGGAAGTCTGGAATAATTCAAAGTGGGAAGATGTGAAGGAAGAGAAAGAGAAGATTGGAAAAGGATATGTCAACAAGAGAAAAGAAGATTGATCCAGATAGGTGAATGGGTTAACAGCACATACCATAGAATTGTCACCAGATGCGCCGGAAAGAACGCTTGAAGATGTGGATCTTCTTCTGATGCGAAGGGGGCGTTCGAGAGTTGGGGATGGGAAAGGTTCCTCAAGGTTAAAGATTGATAGTCTAGCTGGGGAGAGACCACCGAATTCTAATTCCAAGGGGCTTCGCTCGCTACCGGAAGCGGCGCCCTTGAAAGGTAAAAGAAATAAGAGTCAGAAAGTGAAAAGGAAATGATGAAAAGATTAGAGGGGTTCAAAAAGTGAGAAAAAGAAACCATTGCTTACTGGATTGTCATTGCTAACATTGTTGGTGAACACTTTCTTCACTCTACAATTCTTGAGATCGAGGGCAGGAGGACGCATTGTGATCAAGACGAGTTTTATAAGTGAAGAAAGAGGTTGTGAGAGGGATTGAGGGATGAGATTTGAAATGAGGTGGAAGGAATTGAAGGTGGAGTTTGGGATCGTTGTGGTAAGTTGTGAAGAGATCTCTGAGTAAAAAATGCAATCACTACGAGCTAAATAATGACTGGGATCAGCATCACCTTGGTTGCATTTTTAATGTTGACTGAACATTTACAATAATGCTAGTACATTATTTTACCCTTTGTACTCAAGATAATAAAGCAAGAGCTGTACGGAAAATGTTATGGTGCCTACGTCTCCACGTTCTAGCATTAATCCACGCGCACCCTTTCACGCGTTCTTACTTATTGATCACAAAGAGTTCACTCACGGTATCCGTCCATCCGAGTGTTGGCTATCGTGAAGTTTGAGTTGATTTTCATTACATAGCTAACAAGCACTTGGCCACTGTGACGTTCAGCTCACCCGAACTTATATATATTGACCAATTCCGCTCTGAAAATACTATTGCGAAGCTTTTTCTGGTAACAAGAATTTGTTGGCCTTTCTTCAGCTAAATTATTCTCTTTCAACTGCGGCGAACCTCGCCCATCACCAATTTTCGGACGCCCCTGAGCATCAGCAGAAAAAATTGTAGGCTTTTGCTCCGAAGAATCTGCCCAGAATCTCTTGGTGAGTGTCGTAGACCCATTCCTTTACGATCATCAACTTCTTGTGTTTGCGTAGACTCATCTCCCTCCGATCGCCTTTTCATTCGATATTGGGCCATTGCATTCATTGTGATATTCGGCTCGCCTCAGCTTGCTCGCATAATGGACGACAATCCTGGAATCTACAATATAAAGAATTGATTTGTTAAGATGCAATTGGCTGGACGGTCGCAGTCCAGCGAGTTTAGGTACCTCGGATTTTCAGAATTATTTCGTTCAAGGGAAGTATATGCCCCATGTCTCACATCCCTGCTTGTTGATCCTCAAAATGGAGCACATATCATCTATACATTGGTGTTCACTTTGATTCATTTTCAGTCCGCGCCTTATAACACTCAGCTGGTGTTAATTGATAATGGATTTCTTTTGGCAGCGACCCGACTGTAGTTTCCATGGTATGAACCCAGTTTCGATTCTTGTCTTGCTATAAAGGCAGTGAGCTTTTTGACCAAAGGTTATATGAAAGCTTCCTTGAATCCAGAATGATCTGATTTGATGACATCGATGACACCTTATACGTCAATATTCAATCTTCGAACATACAAACATGAGATATCGAATCCTCTAGAGAGTACCTATGGCCTGCCGTGACTTTTTCCGCAGAAGGGATATTTTTTGGCCACTGTGAATGCTTCTGATGTCGAGTTGCTAGAGTCGATAGGCCTTTGAGACACATTCTTATTGACTCATCCTAAAGATATACACATCATTTATGCATTGATCATTCTGGGTTTACAATCCACGATTTTGACATGGCTATCAATCATCACGCAAGTCCTCCTAGTTTTAATTTTTGGTCTGGTCTGACCCCAGTGACTCTATATCCAAAGGTTGTATGCAAGCTCTCGCAAATGCAGAGTGGTCAGATCCAACGGTTTCAATGATATCCCACAAGTCATCTCGACCGTAGACAGACAAACATGAAAATCAATTTCCGCGGAGAGTCTTTGTCCCGTGTCTTGTCGTTCCCGGCAGATATTGAGACATATGCACTCTGGGGTCCGCTCTACATTATCTTCGTATTGACTGAATGAAAGCGCCATGATGCGATCCAGAGCTTCAAGTCAATCGGGCCGATTTTTCCATTTCATCTCTTTGCTTGGATGCGTGGATACTGCGCGTGCTCACAACTTCTGGCGCAAGCATCACTTTGGCAATGCAACTAAACGTCACCAAGATGTATGCGCCTAAAGTGCGGAATATAGATCTCAGCAGGAGAACGTATGGAACGCCTGGTCTGATAATTGGCCGCCGAGGATCCTCCACGAACAACTTGTTTACCCTTGAGGCAGTTGATGCGTGGACCCAGGGCTTCTTGGCTGTTTCGAATGCTTTTGAAAGCTACACAATCGTTGACGGTGTTGCATAGTATTCTTGAGTTACAGACGTTTGATTATCCGAATTAGACGAGCACCACATCAATAAGATTAAAAATGAGATCGTAGTCGATGAGATTCATCGATGGTGAGAAGTCGACTGAGTCAATTCCTCAAATTGACCGAAGACTTCAAGGCAATGTGACTAATATTTGAGGGTTATTGACTTTTTGACTTTTTCAACCCACAACCCACATCTGAGTGTCATTATTCATGAGCTATCACTTTCCGGCCTGACTCCCGACCCCCATAGGAATTTTCGTTGATGGCATATGAAGCCTTTCAAAGATAGAATACAACACGATACGCATTTTCATTCAATAGAAGGAACTGTGACAAATCAGGACAGGCTATACAACTTCAAGAAACCCGACATTGTTGGAATGAATCTCTCCACAAAAGATCGCTCGAAAAGACTTGCTACAAAGCGATAGCTTGCCGAGTATCGAGCCTGACGATTTTCAATCTTGCCAGAAAAGCGATAAGAAAGACCACTGTACCATCCCATACTACCCCGTGCTGATGGTACATGTCATCTCCAGTACGATGGGCATCTCAAATTGGGAAACCATCATAGGATGTTAGTAAACAAATTCGATTGGCTGATAGTTTTCAAGCTTCACTCAACTCAGCTTTGACCGTCTCCCGGGCTAGGTCCACAGCTGAAAGAATATTTTCCGGAAGTGGTCCTTCTTCCGAGCAGGAACAGTTCATCTCGATTTGATCAATTGAAGAGGCACCCAAAATGACACGATCCTCGGGCTGCAATCCGGAATGATGTTGTAGCCAACGAGCTGCCACTGATACCAGAGTTATGTCGGGATGACCTTTCAGAGCTTCTTTCACGACCTCCAATGCTTTGAAAAAACTGCTTCGGATGTATCGCTCGCGGTACTACAGAAGAAGAGACTCGCGTAAGGACCAATTCGAATTTTGTGAAAGGAGTATCGTCTTTCTTGTGCATACCATGGCGCCTAGTGGATGGTTAGGATCGAAACGGCCGCCCTCTTCAATTGGATCATCAGGCTTCATAATCTTACCAGCAAAAAATCCTCCGGCTGGTGAAAGAAGTTAGGAAAGTCGTTCAAAGGGTTGAATCTCTGGTAGCTCATTAGGCCTGACCTAATGGATTATAGATAGCCAAACGGATTCCGAAAGATCGACAGCAAGGAAAAAGCTGAGTCGTAGTTTGGGCCAAAAGAATTCAAAATTAGCGTTGCAGTAATAGGATAGATGAAAGAAAAAATGCTCACCTCGTTTTCGATTGATCTGGTAATGGCATTATACATACCCTGATAAATTGTTGGCTTGACATAGCCATTCTTGTCACAAATTCTCCACATCATCGCCACTTCCCATGCAGCATAAATACTGAGGCCGAGTTCGGTAAACTTCTAGGTATAGTTCGTCGCAAGCTTTCAAAGTCTCTTCGAATGGAACTGATCGATCTGGCGCATGTAGATAGAACACACGAATCTTTGGCACATTGAGAGCCTTCAAAGTCGTTTCTAGAGTCGCTCTGACGACCGCTGGCTTGTGACCACCTGGTCCCTGGTCAATCGTATACGTCGAAAGCAAAAAAATAAGCGATTGACCATATAATTGCGAGATGGCTATGAGACTTATGAGCAAACCTGTTAGGGAATGCTAGTTAGTAACTAGTAGGAGATAGTTATATCTCAGTGACCGATAAAGAGCAGAACAATACCTGTTAGGGAATGCTAGTTAGTAACTAGTAGGAGATAGTTATATCTCAGTGACCGATAAAGAGCAGAACAATACCTGCTCGAAGTGATGAGTAGAATCGGTAAGATTATTATTAACACACAGCACAAGAATGGAAACAATAATAAGAAGAATAATAACCTGTTAGGGAATGCTAGTTAGTAACTAGTAGGAGATAGTTATATCTCAGTGACCGATAAAGAGCAGAACAATACCTGCTCGAAGTGATGAGTAGAATCGGTAAGGAAAAGAGAAAATACAATAGGTAGTGAAGCACTCTTTATATATACCGAAGACATCACAAGATACGGTCAGATTACTAATAGCATTCACAGCAATGACATCATGAATAAGAGAATAAGAAAGATGATATCATAGCATATGAGACGAGAAAAGAATCTAGTAAGAATAAATAAGAGATTAGATAACCCCAAATATATAGATAAGTTTTTAACTTCAATTCATATATCATAGGATACACGTAGACATGCCGCTGGGAAGCACTTGGAATCGATCGTCAACCCCGTACAATTTAGCTCGCCAAGCATCTGTTCCGTGGTCCCCTCGCCATCTATTGAGAATCCGTCCAATGATGAGAATCAGCAGAAGCAAGGGACGCAACGAAACTGGTAAGCTTACAAGTTCTTGCGGTATCTAACTCAGTATGCCCATGTGACTTGAAAACATCGATGAGTTTTTGAGCCGTACCCAAGTCATGTATCCTGTCAAAGTAGGAATCTCGTTAGCAGATCAATCGTAGAAGTTTGGAGGTTACTAGAGTAGTCAACTCATTATCAACAAACCCACTTTGAGCCAAACGTGCCCTCATTCCCAATTGCCACAGTCCTTGAAAGATACATAAAATAGGTCAGGATATATTGATCGACTGATGAATTAACATTCAACGTAGCCCAAGATCAGAGGTATTCTTGTTTGCTTTGTGCTCGTCATCCCTCTGTCTATGCAAGAGCTCAGGATAACAGATGTGTTCACGAGACAGGATTTGGGCGATTATTATCCTATAATCAAGAGGATCTGGCAGTTGAAATGTGTGCTCAAGACTCAAGAGCTCTCAAGAGCCTGTCTATATAACAAGGTGAACCATTGTGGGCGCCGCCTATGACGTCACTTCCAGGAGATTTCCTAGGGTTAATAATCTCTGTACGTCGGGTTATCTCGGTGTGTGTGTCCTGGATAAATTGTACGCCAACAACACGTGCAGATGTCTATTGCGACGTAGAGGTGCATCACTTCGCTAACGGGGATTTTTTTTTCTTGTCGCCAGATCTTAACCACGAAGGAACGCAAATGGAAGTCACATCTACCAAGTACTCGCACTGACGGCCATGCCGAAACATCAAACGCACCTCCTAATTAATTTCACATTTAAATCAATTCCTTAATACTTTCCTTAGTATCTTTCTTTTGTATTAAAACAATCAACAGATGAAATGAGTGCTTTTTGTTGTAAATCGGAGTAAAAACAGTCTGCACCAATTTTCTTCCAAACCAGACAACCAAAGTCTCCTCAAGAGCGTTTGCAATACCGTTTTAGCATAATTGATAGATTTGTTATGTGCATATTCTCCATAAATATGTTGGGGAGGCGCTTCTGATATCTGATGAGATGATCATGACAATCAGTGAGTTCCAAATGTGGATCCCAATCAATGCCTCAGGCTCCAATCACAATGATCAAGTAGTGGCAGAGATACATGGTATCTGATCATGATTATCCCACCAATGGCCGCAGCTCCTCTCAAGAGAAAAAGTAAAATGTAAATCCCAGAGAAACAAGCAGATTGGTAGTATGTTCTGGATGTGTTGAACCATGTGATCACTCATCTCAAGCAAACGATAAAAGAAAAACTAACTGTCTGATTTCAATCAAGAGAAGACTAATATGAATCACAAAAAGAAAAGCTTGAAGATAATGGCTATGTACAATGAAATGAGGAATGCGTATTGATATCTTTTATTTTTTTTGGTAAATCAAAACATCTACTGGCTGAATTCTCATCTAACAGTCTAGGTTAAGCTTGGCTGTGGTCAGCTTTACGTAACAGCGCTTGAGCTCTTCAATTTTCTATCAAAAAAACCGGACACAATGAAATATTTTAGCATTAAAATAACAAAAATAAAAGACTAATCGGATTCAGTTTCGATAAAGACACTCACCGGAGATCCAAAGGCGAAAGGAAAAGCTCGAAGTTTATTGTATAAGGGTGAAGATTCTGGAAACAAGATTGAGATTTGTTTTTTACTAGCACCAACGAAGATCAGTTCTGATTTTTCTAGTTCATTTTCCCAAGACGCCAAGAGTTCGGAGCCAGCCTATGAAAGAAAAGGAAACAAGGATTAGAGGGAAATAAAAGTTGTATTTGAGAATTGAGATAAATACCTTGTTCATTGGGTCTTTATTCACGGGGTCTCTATCAACTCCTCTCTGACTTTTGCGGGATAATTTTTCGACCACTCTTTCCTTTTTGCTCTTTGCATGTCCTTTTTTGCTTTCAATAACTGGGGCAGCTAGATCAGTAGTTTTGTTAGAAAGATGATATGTAAATAAAAGTCAGTTTCAAATCAAAAGATGAAAAGAATAAATTTACACGAAATTGATGACCAACGTTTTTTCACTTCATCTTTGAGGATCACCAATCTGTCTTTGATAGGTTTACTTTCTTCGCGGTTAAATAAATCAGTTTGAATATGTATAGCAGCAATTTTATCTTTTCCAAAGATAACTAAAGTCCAACGTCTATGACTCGAGTCTTTATCATCATGACGTTGTAATTTTCTTAACTCGGAAATTGGTTTATCAAAGATCAAACCACTCTCACGACCAAATGATCGAGGTAAGACACAACGAAAGAATTCGAATTTTTGAGTTTGATCAAACAAATGAATCTTTTTGATCCATTCGGGGTTATCAGTCCAAATGTCTTCTGATGATTCAACACTAGGTAGAGGAGGAAGAGAAGGTCCGTAAGGGAGTGCTATCGGATTCTTTGTGAATAGAGCTCCGCGTAGAGGTTTTGGGAGATCAAAGATGTAGAGCTCTCCCCGTTCTCGGATATCTTGCTCGTGGTTTGAGGTTATTTTGTTGGATTTGGACATAGCGATTTTTGTTGGTGCCATTTCAGAAAGGTGATAAGTTTTTAGGTGGAAGATTGTGATTGCTATATAAAGAAGTTCAAGCTTTCTAAGATGACTTTGAATGTAAGGTTATGGATGCTATATATGAAGAATTGAAGACTGCTTGTAGTATATCGAGCGTTTGTATTTGGGTGATGGAATGATGGAAATGGACCGAGTCTCACTGATCCCATGGTTCATATACTCCAAGTCTTGTACATTTTTTTCGCAGTCGTCACTCAGCTCTCGTAGAGGAGCGCCATTCTTGGATACTCAAAGAATTGAACAAAAGCGCAAAGCACTGAATACATCTGACCGTTAGGAAAGGAAAAGGGGAAGGTCTTGAGTTATTGTACCTCATTGGGATTTGGCTCAGTTTCGCATGTATCAAAAGTGGTTTGAGAACTTGTTGAGCTTCGAGCTTTTCCTTCAACAATTGATGGTAAGCTCACTTCACCCTGATGACATCTAGAACTCCCTTTCAGTTCTCATTCGGAAGAATTTTGAAAAAGCTCACAAGAAAATGAAGTAAATCTTTCTTCCGCGCCTGTGTTTGACAAATATGTATGGTCTTTTGTTATAAATGAACTGAAAGGAGATATATGGTGTTGCCCAGCAGCTCGTGATATTTGAACAACATACCGCGGCCGCTTGGGTATTCAACGTCTATAGCTACAACTTGAGACCGGCTCTCACCATTGAGAAGAACCGACTCATCATTCAAGACTCTTTCCCTTCTCTTAGACAGCATGAAAGAATGAATTGTGAAGCATGAATTCTTAGGCACGAGTACAATGAGTTATCGTATATGGGGAACGTTAGACTAAGCTTAAGTCTAGATGACGGGTATCAACTGCGAGCTTTCCTAATATTGGAAAGCAATGCTTCCTAGGTCTTAGGCTAGCCACTAACAAAGGCTATGCAGGGCATACCACACACCAAAAAAAGACTGAAGTGTTCACCTGTGTTCACCCGGCTGTCTTCGACGATAGGCGGGCTGGTCTGAACTTTCCAAGCTCGCTTGGAGTCACTCTTCTCCTTTTTCGAAGGAGACTGATACACAACAGATATCGTCAAGTATGATTGGATCCATCACTTTTACCTCTATCCAGCTCAGTGGAATATGCACGTGCTGTACATCATTGGTTCATTCTGCGATAGTCTGTCCACTTGAAAACAGTTTGACCAGCGTCGTGGTTTTTTAGGAACTAGCTTATAGAGATAATGATAGCCCTCCTCGGTGAAGGGAGAGACCTATGTACGCTCTATACAAGCAAGGCGAGCTGAAGATCATAAACGCGTGTGAGGTTTTCCAGAAGGCTCATGCTATACATAGAAAGAAGATGACTCAAAGAAATACTCGATTGAACAGACTTCATCCTGGAGATGGTATGACACAGCCACATGCGACCCTGAAGTGTGTGTAAAAACTCAATCCGTAAGTCATTTACAGTTGTTCATCGCCTTCAACCACCTCAGCCAAAAAACTCAGAGTCTCTAATTTTCCTCTACCACCTAATGATTCTTGTTGGAGAATCTCATTAATGACTCGAAATTGACCTGGATCGATTAGAGCCACCTATGAAAAGTTTATCATGATTGTCAGTGTTTGATTAAAATGACCGAGACAAAGAGAAATACTGAGACTGACCCATTCCCATTCATCGGACCATTCTTCATCTTCCACTTTTGTGGAAAGTGGGACAATTTGTGATTTAAGTTTCTTACCATCCTTAGCAGGCATGGTAAGTCGGACTCGCATCTGAGCTCGCTCAAGAGAAATAATATCAGGTCTAGCAGAGAGTGTCTTGATGAGTTCAAGTGCCTGGTAAAATCGAACCGTACATGAGTATTGGGAGTAGCTGGATGAAGATTGATCAAATCACTTAACTTGAATCTTTGAACTTTTCGAAAAGTTGACTGAAAAATGTACCGCTTCCATAGCCTTTTCAATCATCGAAAGTGTATGCGGACGATGAGTAGAGGGATCTAAACATTTCTCAGCTACCAAATGCGCAATTTCCTTCTTCTTCACATCCAACTCTTGACCGCGCTCTTTATCAGAAACTTGTAATTCTCCCTTCTGCAGGATCTCGAGTACGATCACATCATTGTTCGTACCAGAACCAAAACTATGCTTTAAATCGGCAGCTGAGGCAACTTGTCCTTTGGATACATTAGAGAAAATCGTGTCGGTTTGTAGCACTTCTGATAGATCGGTTTCAATTCCTGTTCGCCATTCCCTCGCCTCTTGAGATCAGATCAATACCTCTCCGATAAAATTTTTCGCTTGAAAATGTACATAATCCAAGGCTCACTTTGTTTTTATAACATGCAATTTCGAATCTTTTGCCACCTTTTTTCAATCGAACGATCGATACGTTAGTGAGCTTGATCTAAGAAGAAAGAAGCACGTCCTTTAGCATTCTGATCGTGGATGGTATGTGAAGGACTCTGACCTGATTTGATGGCTGGAATACCGGCATTTTGCTGATTGAGGTTTTGAGGATCAAATATCTGCTGTCTTCCAAATGTATGCGCAATTCAATCAGTGTGTATGATTTTGATCCGGTACCGACGTGAGTGGTGCTTCGCAGGGCCGAATGTCTTTTAGTGACGATGAAGACGACGCAGGAATTGTTTCGAGGGAACAACAACATCCACTTCAACCACAACAATGCCACCAGAACGATCCCGTGCAACTGACTTCGATTATGATGATCAAAGGCATCATGACCGTAGACGTCCCGCTTCTCCACGTCGCTCACGAACTCCTCCATCTCCACGCCGTCGGACTCGATCTCCGGACCCCTCCTCTCATCGACACGCTCCAGATACTAGAGGATCACCCGATTACGATAGAGGAAATGACCGTAGTAGAATGAGAATGACTCCTGATAAAGCGCTTGATGACCGAGGTGATCGAGGCAGGACGAGACGTAATGAAGGTGGATCAGGTTACGAAGAAGATCATAAGGGTGGTGGCGGAGATCAGTCGTATGGAAGAGGATATCAACGTACAAATTATGCGCAAGGAGGAAGGGATGACTTTTTCGAGAGGTGAGCTCTAAGATTCTCTAGGCATCCTCATTTCACTCTTTGTTATTTTTCTCATCTGAAACGCTCTTTGAACGTAGCCGGCGACTCGAACGAGAACATGCAGAGGTCTCATTTTGGCCTAGATCACCAACGCATGCATACAAACAAGATTCAAAAGACGATTCAAAAGAAAAGGGAAAGAAACACAAGAGTTCAAAGTCCGAATCCAAATCGAAGTCCAAATCGAAATCCAAATCCAAATCAAAGTCTCGTCATCATAAACGATCGAAGTATAGTGACTCAGAATCTGAAGATGAAAGTGACTCTGAGGATGACGAAAGAAGACATTCTCGTTCAAAACAAAAGCATCTCTCACATCACCATTCGTCACGTCATGAACGAGATTCAAGCCGTAAACGTCGTCATCAAAGTTCTACGCCAAGCATCGATGAAGATGAGCCAGAAGCTACCCGCGAAGAAGAAGAAATTGTGTGGGAGGAAAAATCAGTGATGAGAGCCCCAGCTACTCGTAAGGAAAGTATCAAAGGACCATCTCTTCCAGCTCCTCCGGTCTTGGCAGTTGTAGAAGCTCCAGAAGAGGACTCGGACTCAGATCCAACAGAAGTGGGACCGATGCCGTATAATCCGGTCACGGGTAAAGCCATGGATCCCAAAGAATTCGGTCGTGCGCTGCGGCCCGGTGAAGGTAGTGCAATGGCTGCATTTATTGAAGCCGGTGAACGTATCCCTCGTCGTGGTGAGATTGGTTTGAAAGGTCCACAAATTGAAAAGGTAAGTGACTTTAACAAAACACTCTTGATTTAGAACTTCCCTTCTCATTGACTATCTTACGATATTTGTCTGTTCATTTATTGCAGTTTGAGCAAGCAGGATATGTGATGTCAGGTTCAAGGCATAGAAGAATGAATGCAGTCCGAATCAGGAAAGAAAATCAAGTTATCAGTGCTGAAGAGAAGAGAGGGATTCTCAAGATGCAAGCCGAAGAGAAATCTAAGAGAGAAGGACAAATTATTTCTAGCTTTCGTGAACGTAAGTTGGATAGCTTGTGATTAGTTTTGTGGAATTCCAAACTGATATCTTTGTTTCATTCTCTTAGTGGTCGATACAAAATTACAGGAGACTTCTTAGAGGGACTGTTTTTGTCAGATAAATTCACTGCTATTGTCGCTATGTAATATACATCATCATTTTTGTTTGCGTCAAAGGCACATCCGCTAGGGAGCACGTTGGAGCTGAGATGACTCCAAGACCGATGCTATGGGGTTAGTAGGAGTCTGACGTTGGATTCTGATGACTTGGTCATATTTTGGACTTGCAGCAAACTTGGGTAACGGTTTCCATCGAGTACTTTACTCTTCATGACACGGATTGTTCTTTGAATATATCGACGGGGATGTTTGCAGAGAGATGTGAATATGTCGTAATCGCATTTTTTTTACCAAGAGGTTGGCAAAGTGTCAGTCGTCGTGCTTCTCTTATATGTATAATCCTGAAATTTCTGAGACTGCCGCCTGGAGGGGTTCTCACTAGTAAATGTAGATCATTTAATGTGACGGAGAGGACACTCGTGCTGCGTTTAGGGCCTTCTTTGGATGCCCAACTCTTGTTTCTTTTGAAACCAATGTAGGATCGCTACACATTTAGGGAGCTTTTTTGTGTAAGGTTATATGATGTCGGTTAAGAGGATTAATTTCATGTCAAATCTAGTCATGAACCCAAACAAGTTGACTGCTATAAGTTGTAGTCATGACCCTCAATGGTTATCTGATTAGACTGATATAGATGTGTGGCTTGTCTTTATTTCGAGATTCAAATAAAGTTCAAACTGATCAGACTTTGATATAAAAAAACACTACACAAATGAAAAACTGATACTTATCATCTCACAACAACAACGAGAAATAGAGAAAACTAAGTAAAAAAAGAAAACAATATTCAAGATACTAAAGAATACAACCCCGGACCCAATTCCTCATAATGCAAGATCAGCTCACTGATGAGATGATAAAGAACAAGCCTAAAACAAAAACCAGAGTAAGTGAAATCTGAAGAACTATATCGGCAGCATACACTTGAGTAAAAATAACTCACCGATGCAGTAAGCTTACTTAGTAGAAGTAGAAGAAGCGTAAGAAGCATACAAAGCAACACAAAATTTCGAAGCAGCCATAACCTTCATATGAAATTCTGGTGAATAGCCGAATTCTTGATCAGACTCGATATCATCCATAAGGCGTTCTAAGTTGGTTTTCCAAGGAGCTGGAGCCTGGATCCTATCTACCCGTACTGCTTGAGGCCTGCGTGTGGAGTTCTGAGCATCGTGCTTGACGGGCTTCTGTGCGAGGTTTTGTTTGGGCTTCTGAGCAGAGCTCTGTGTGAGGATCTGGGCAGGGCCCTGGGCAGGAATCTTTACGGGTGTTTGGGCGGGAATCTGGGCAGGGCTCTGGGCGAGAATATTTACGGGGGTTTGGGCGGGAATCTTGAGAGCTTGGGCGGGAATCTGGGCAGGGCCCTGGGCAGGAATCTTCACGGTGGTTTGGGCAGGAGTCTTGGGAGTTTGGGTGTGAGTCTGAGAGGTGCCCTGTGCGGAAATCTTTACGGTGGTTTGGGCGGGAGGCTTGGGAGTTTGGGTGTGAGTCTGAGAGGTGCCCTGTGCGGGAATCTTTACGGTGGTCTGGGCGGGAGGCTTAGAAGTTTGGGTGTGAGTCTGAGGGGTGCCCTGTGCGGGAGGCTTGAAAGTTTGGGTGTGAGTCTGAGGGGTGCCCTGTGCGTGAATCTTGGGGGTTTGGGCGTGAAGCTGGGCGAGGGGCTGAGCGGGGCTCTTCGTGTGGATCTGGGCAGGGCCCTGGGCGTGAATCCTTACGGGAGTTGGGGCGTGAATCTTGGGGGTTTGGGCGTGAAGCTGGGCGAGGGGCTGAGCGTTGATCTGAGCGGGGCTCTTCGTGTGGATCTGGGCAGGGCCCTGGGCGTGAATCCTTACGGGAGTTGGGGCGTGAATCTTGGGGGTTGGGGCGTGAAGTTGGGCGAGGGGCTGAGCATTAATTTGAGCGTTAACCTGAGCGGGGCTCTGTGTGTGGATCTGGGCATGGCCCTGGGCGTGAATCTTTACGGGGGTTGGGGCGTGAATCTGGGCGAGGGGCTGAGCGTTAATCTGAGCGAGGGGCTGGGTGTGAGTTTGGGGGGTGCCCTTGGCGCGGATCTGCGACCTCTGGGCTTGCTGGTGGCTTTGCTTGTGGGCCCGTTTCTGAAGGACCATCTGGGGAGAGCTGCGTTTGTAGACCATGGCGGGGGTCTCCTGGGAGTGGCTTATCTTCACGCGCTTCTGAATAGGGTTCTGGGCGTGGTTATGGGCATGAGTGCCGATTTGTGCGTGGTTCTGAGACTGAGCGTAGTTGATGTAGTTCTGAGTCTGCTGTAGAGGATGCGGATTGGGCGAGTTCTGAATGTAGTAGATCTTGGAGAGACAGTGGAATTGAGCCTTGAATACGGGGCGTGAGAATTTTGCGGTGATCTTTTTACAGGCATCAAAGGTCGCAAAACCTGATGTCTGTAAAATTCACCTCGACCCGTACAGTATTTAATTTTGCAGCACTTTCACTTGTTCCAACGTTCGCAAAAAAAAGGGCTGCAAAAATACGTCTGCCAAATTACACTACAGATGTGATGTTATTGACTTTTGCGAAGATTATTTTGCGGCTTTTGTTCTGCGTAAATAGAAAAGTCCGCAAAACTGTAAGAAGTCTGTAAAATATTGAATTTTACAGTCTTCGTTATACAGAGATTGAAGGCCGCAAAAAAAAAGGCTTTCAAAATTGTAAATACATTTGCAATGTTCAATTTTGCAACCAACATTTTGCGGTCTTGATGAAAAAACATATTGATGAAAAAACATATATAGTGACATATGGAAGTATGTATTTTTAGATTCCACACCGTCTCATTGTGCAAAGGAACAAAAAAGCTCTTCAACGATTAGATTGAGCAAAAAAGCATTGAAGAGAGAATGAATACACGAGATAACCAGATAACCATTCCACCTTATATTTACGCTCTCTTACGCTTTGATTTACGCAAACCACCACTATTATCTTCCTGATGATCCTGCGGTTCGGCGGTGGCCTTGGTAAGTTTAAGCTTGAGTTTTACTTTCTTTTCAACCGCTGTGGCAAAAAATAAATGCAAAAAAGAGGTGTCAATTATCACTTCCACAACGAGATAATGAGAGCATGAGTCCCCACTGACGTTGCACATCTTCATCGTGTTTGTCTCCTTTACGCTTCGTGATTCCCGAAGCCTTCATATCCACAATATCATCAATATTCCAAGATTCGTCATCTGGCAGTCAAAATGAAGAGTTTAGCACACAATGAAAGATACAAAGAAATATCCTGCCCACCTTCGGCCTGATCGTTTGCAGAAGCAACATCCACGTCTGCACAAAAGCCATTCGGGCTTTCAGCTTGTACCACATCCACTTCAAAATCATTTTCGAGTTCGTCTTCAAGGTTTTCTTCTTCAGTTTCACTACCATCATCAAATACATCCAATTCTTCAGGGCAGTCTTCTTCTTGATTTTGAATCTCGTCCTCTGAGTCAACACTTTCAACGTCTTCTTCTTTCGCAGGCGCCTTTCCTACCTCTGATTGTGAAAAAGGTCGATCCCCAGCAATCTTCTTATTTCCAAGGGATTTGTCAATCTTCTTATGCGCCTTTTCAATAACCAAAGACTCTTCAGCAGTAGGTAAACGAGAATACATTACCCATGAGGTGCTAGGTAAAGCTCCTCCAATGGTCTCCAAATCCGCAGAGATAAATGTGGAATTACCGCCATTGGAAATATCGTTGTGATGCCATACCCCTGTCAAGTTGCCAAGGGTCCTGACGACTTGACACCAATAGTGAGCTCCAGCCCAGAAACCACGAGCTCTCATCCAGTAAGTTTGACCGTTGAGTTTCAATTCATATGGCAAATTGCATTCAGCTGCCATCGTGGCTGCTTGGTCAGGGTGAGGTAGCAACGCCGCGATGTCAAGATTAACATGGAGATGAGGTGGTGGAGACTCAAAGGTGAGTTGACTGGTTTCGAGATATGCCGGTGGGGAGGATTTCTTGGAGGATTTGCATTGACTGCAGTGACGGGCTGATACACGTTGAAATCCGTTTGATGAACCCCATTGCTGGATCAGTGCTGGGAGGTCGGAGTAAGAGAATTGTTCCTGGAAGTGTTCTGGTAAGATTGTAATTTTGTTCATGTGCCGAGTTTCAATCTTCCGGTGGGATGAAGCTTTCGGGCAAACAAATGTGCGCTTGAGGTCCACACGGTAATGGCCCCACATTGGGATTTTCTATAACTTTCTTTGCAAATTTTTCCATAGAGATCTTATCCGGCTTGCTTCGACGAGGCCATGGATGGTCATGAAAGCCTGAATGTCGAATGATGGCCCATCCTGTTGGTTTGTGCTCGTCCAATCGGCACATCGTATCATGGCATGGGATGTATCGACAATAATCCGGGCAACAAGCGCCAGGACACTTCGGAGGGCTAGACGTTGAATTATATCAAACTGTCAGTTTATTTACTCATATGCTGGAAATAATTAACAAGTGGAAAATAATAACTGACTTGTCGATTATTTCTCTCCTTTTGTTTGGGCAGGTAGGAGGCGAGCCAAGGTAGTCACAGTTGACATTTTCACAGACTACCACCCCAAGACATGTCCATCTAGTAGTTCGCCAGTCAGGATTTTTTGATTTTTCTTTTGTTTTCGCTCCAGAAGTGGTAGATGTAAAGGCAAAAATACCCCAGTTGGTGTAAGTCTCTTCTGGCTGTTTGACAATGGTGGTGTTGCCGTTGGGGAGTAGCGGATAACCTTGCTCATCGAGGGTTGTGTCTTCATCGATGAAGGTGCTGAAAGAAGGGCGGTCCAGAGGAAGAGCAAAAGTCTTCTTGCCGGGCTTGCCCTTCTTCTTCTTATTACTAGTGGAGGTTGGTGATTGGGGAGGATTTCCTTCAGATATCTCGTCACCAGACAGTATGTCGGAATGAGAAACACTCATTTGAAGAGAGCAAGAAGAAAATGACCAAAAACGAAAATAACTCGGTAGTAAAATTTGAAGATGAAGGTTTATTTGGATCTATCGATTAGAAATGATCGTAATTTGTTGGGACAAAATAGATGGAAAAAGAGATGACGAATTGATTGGAATTTGCGTTGTCATCTCTTTTGCAAAGTTTTCATGAATCAATCATGACTTCGTGATCGATCCAAAGCACTTGTGAGTGGGTGCTGTTCAAGACATGTCTGTTATTCTCGATTCGGATAAGAGAACTATCTGTTTGTCCTAGTTCGTCCTGTTGATGGATGGCTGCTACTTCGTTGTCAAGGGTAACAGCCACTCTGTGGTGTTATTTTGGCCAATTCGAGATTCGAGAGTTGTGATGGATCCCGTTTTCGTCCTTCAGACATGGAATGGAAAGTGTCGCCTTCTTCAGTCCGGAAACATGTATGAAGATTGGACCACTTTCGTGGACACATGATCCGATTGACGCTTTCAATCCTTTGGTTTGGCTTCAACACTTTGGGTTGGAAATCTTTGTCCGTGAAATTCAACATTTGGACAATGTCATCGAAATTGGCGGACGTTCGGTTTGCGGCTTTTAACGATGTCTGCAAGGGATGTCCTGCTAAATTCGAGAATAGGGCCATTTAATGGAGTTTTCCGATTGAAATATTTTCCGGCCTTTAATGTTTGGAAGTTTTTGTTTGTGAAAATGTATAGTGAGTGTGTGAGTATATAATTTTGGAACCTTTGTGTACCAGCCTTTTTTTTTGCGAACATGAAAAAAATGAAATGACCCGCAAAATTACACATTGCACGGGCAACGGTGAATTTTACGGATATCGGGTTTTGCGGTCTTTAAGGTCCGCAAAAACAACATCGCAAAATTCTACGGGCCCCTTGAATACTTGTTCTACTTGAAACATAGACCAATGACTCACCTGCTGTGGGTTCACTTGGACTCCAGCATGATAAGCGGCTGCAACCTGGTAAGCGGTTGGTGCGTTGTGGACAACCGTCTGCATAGGTCGATACCTCGGGTCGATCACATAGGTCATGGAGAGATTCGGATTGTACATTGCGGCCGACGTTTTATAGATAGGTGTGTGTTGATGGAAGATTCAAAGTAAAATTCGCACAGCTCGCAATAAATCAGGAGAACAGTAGCTTGTTGAAGTAGGATAAAAGGAAGAAGGATGATTTTTGTGAGTTGCAACAATAATTGATTGAAGACTTGTGATGGAATGATCAGGGGGAAAGAAGAGGAAATGGATTGGTTAAATATCAACCAGCCGGAGTGAGTAGGATAGAAATCAGACTGATTTACCGGTGCGTCGTTCCTTCCTCAGGCACCCCATGACCATTGTGCCGTGAACCAATGACTTATGGCCTCTTAAACTCGCCATCTCTTGACTTCTTGTTCAAGTCAATTGACCTTTGTTTGGATACGTCTACCTCGGAATGCAGAAGCATTCCAGAGACTGTTCCTGAGCCGGTACGAAAGGAAGTCTACGGGGAAACAGGTCGCTCATGATCCCCTCTGCGTCTGATGACCGTGGCGATACATTTACAAGCGGCACTTCGAGCCCAGTGATGTGCTAGATGTCACTGATGGACCGACTGGCTGAACTCAGAGACCCTGCACGCCTCTGACTTGCGAAAGTACAAGCTTTGAGGAATTGATTGCCGAGAGTCACTCACATAAACAGCAGCGCCCACCGCTGAAGATACTGCCAAAAGTCAAAAAAATGATAGCTCTTGGCTCTTCATAATTTCACGCCGCGCGATTTGTGTACTGCAAATTACCGTACGCGAAGGCAGTCAAACAAGCTTGAAAAGACCACAAAAGAGTGAGAGCCGTATACATACATGAAGAAACACAATGATCTTGATTAGATTCCAAGTGGATATTGACTCCACAACTCTTGGTGCCCATTCGAGGTTTCAAACTACATGAAAAGGGCAAGGCAAAAAAACAATGAAGCAACAATTGCGAGGTGTCAAACTGTTGACAGTGTCAGAATATCTCAAGACGCGTCTATCTTAAAACAACAAGCACGCTTAAAAGTTTGAAAACGTACATTGAAGCAACAAAGCTGAGGAATAGATGTATTTCTTTAGACATTTGGCAGTAACAGCAAATGTCGCGTTCTGATGTTAACCATCATGATCTGGCGCTTAGCACATTCCAATCATAATCAGTTTGCATCCTCTTCCGTACAAATTTCCTTTTTTTAATACTAGAGCTTCGGGGGCGGCTCGCCGCCCTCCCGGGAATAGCATCATGCTGCTCCCTTGCACATCCTCATTGTCATCATCATTACCAAAAGTCTATCACATCTAATGTTGCACCCCAAAGAGCCATAGCCCCCCGTGTCTAGTCCCCCCCGCTCATGCCACTGCCTCCCTGGTCCATTTTTCCACATTGCAGTGGGGCAAAAATCTCCGGTCAACACATGCCATCCCACATCACCACCAATGGGGCTGAACGTTCATCATTCTTGCCCTCTCCAGACGTGTTTCCATATTAAATTGAAGCAGATAGTTGAGAACCACACTCAATTCAATCTCCCAAGTATTTGTGTCTATTTGATGACCAATGACATTGCCCCACAGTGTGATCACATTACCCACATTCAGAGTGCCCATACTCAAGTTGGTTGTGATGTGTGAATCAATGAGATAGACGGTGTAAAGGTGTTGATGCTGTGACATTGAGATTGAAACAGTCAACTTAGTGGTGTGTGACGGGGAGTGTGAGTTCCTTGGCTGATAAGTGCAGCTCTGATGCAACACCTTTATATATTTGACAGCAAGCCCATTGGGAGTTCTGTTGCAGCATGACCATTCTCCAATCAAGCCAACACCCTGTGTAGTGACTTTATTAAGGAGACAGTTAAGACAAACGTTGGCATGGTTAAGAGAAATAGTGTTATTTGGCTCTTCAAAGATTGTGGAAATGCTGTTGATACTGCCAGCGGCAACTTCACCATTGATTTGGTAAGCATGATTGTGTTTCAGTGAGCTTCCATTCCATTTGGTAACAATTGGGACCTTGACACCTTGGAGTGTGTTGACATTGATCTTTATATCAGTTTCAAACATCTGATACGTAGGGCTAGCATTATAGCTGTCCAATTCAGTCTGAAATAAACACAGCTTTAGCGTAATCACATATTGACGGAGCTAATGACATACCTTGGCTTTTGTCAAGTAGATGCTGCTGAAATGTAATGGAAAGTGCAACAAAGAGTAATTTTTCATTGAGGGAGTCATACTTATTGAGAAAGTGGTAAATGGGCAGGATTATGTGACCAAAGGTGCAGAAATCAGTTTGCAGTGGTCTCAGCAGAGATGGTTAAGAATGATTTAGGTGATCAGGAATGAAGATTAAGTATGCTAAACTGTGATTTTATAAATTGATGTTGCCAGATGGCATTTAACAATTGTCAACCAGGCTAGTCAGGTTGTTTGCTCTTTTGACTAACACATTTGCAATCTTGAGGTTGGTAGCACGTATCAATGCTAGTTCATTTTGATGGCAATAGGCTGTCACTGAGTATTACATCAGTGTTGTGGGCTCCGTCATAGAGCAATGAGCAAATGGCTGGGCCCTGTGACTGATGTAGCCTTAGGAAGCAGCAGAGTAAGAATCACTGCCACGGTAGCTGGCTTCAGCGGCTAAAAGATAGTGGCAGTGTTCAACAATTCATCAAAAATAGCGGCATAAATTGACACAAAAGTGAGCATAGTGACACCAAGGTGTTTTCAAAATGTATAACATCTGAGCCTGGCACGTGGTTTGAGCAATGATGCATAAGTGTTTCTTGACCAAATACTCAAAAATTGTTTTATGGAGTTGGGGTTGTTGACCAAAAAGCACTTGGGGTTATGTCGGACAGTTTTAACTCCTTGTTGACAGCCAACTGTGGCATCTCGTGCTGGACATATGTGACTTTGTTAATCTGGTCAGAAATGCAGTGGTTTTTAGGCGCAGAAGTTATTGTAGTGAGAGAAATGGCTGACAGTCACAATGAGTCCCATCTTTGTACTACAGTACCCTGTTACTGTACCTGTATATGGCGCTCGTTGTCAAGGCCTCTGTTGTGACAGTTTTTTGAATTGGCATGGGTAAAGCATAGCAAACTATGAATCGACTGGCATGTTGATTCTAGAAACAAAGCAAGTCAGTTTGAAAGTGCACCAGGTATTGTTTGGCAAAGTCACATGGTATGGTGATGTCAGAAATTTAGGCATTAAATGGCGCCTGCAGCACAGCAAAAAAAGGGCAATGTGCAGGCACACCATGTGTAATTGAACTGGATACTGTCACAACTGCACACCATTTCATGGGTTTGGTGCAGTAGTCACTGCAATTATGCAGAATGGGCGGGCAGTAAGTCTATAAACAGGTATTGGTGTATTTTTGCGGTAGAAATCTGGGGTTCTAGGACTGGATTGAGTGAAAATGAGCAGTGAATAACAAGAATTAATGCAGAACAATGCAGAATTAATGCAGAATTAATGCATTGCACACCATTTCATGGGTTTGGTGCAGTAGTCACTGCAATTATGCAGAATGGGCGGGCAGTAAGTCTATAAACAGGTATTGGTGTATTTTTGCGGTAGAAATCTGGGGTTCTAGGACTGGATTGAGTGAAAATGAGCAGTGAATAACAATGCATTCACTGCAATTATGTGGGCTGGCTCTGGTGGAACATGTATGCATTACGACAATGTTGTATTTTCATGGTATAAATCGGAGCCCTACAACTGGATTGAATGAAGATGACAGGTGAATAACAATGCATTATGTATTATGGTGGATATATAGAGATCTGGAAGCTCAATATATGAAAGTGTAAAAAACAGACTTGTAACTCGTGTTTTATTGGTCTTGCAAATGCAGGACATAAGCATGTTCAGAGAATGAGATAATATTATGATGTCAAAATCAGTGCAAAGCCTTGCTGCCAATAACTTTGGAGGAGATGAGGCTTGCAGTAAATGGTTTGTATTTTGGATGTCTAATAAAGGACCAGTCAAGTGTTGCATAGAGACACACAAATTGAGTTGGACCTACCCTGATTTCCCATGTATTAGTGTCCATGTTATTACCAATTACAGCGCCCCATAGTGTGATTATGTTACCAATGGCCAGTGCATTAATACATAGTGAGGCAGTAAGGTCGGATCCGATGATGTAATCAGCAAAGAATTCCACAGGCTAATATATATGAAGTTTGATCAAAAGGAAGGAATTTGGTTAGTCAGAACCATAGATAAGTATAAGTTTGGAGCTTACGCTACCAATTGAGCTTTGGTGGAGGACTTTGATTACTTCAACATATGGACCGCCGCCATGAGGGGGACAACTGCTCCATTCAGCAATTTCTCCAACACTCTGTGCTGAAACTCTATTGTGCAACAAACAAAGATCAACAATGGCGTGACTGATACTGATTGCATGATTTGGATCTTCAAGAATGGCAAATGCATTGTTGTTTCCTCCCGCTGCAACTTTGCTGTCAACCGATAAGTGTGGTGGGTGTTGATGGCAGTTTCACCACGCTTAGCAACAATCAATAAAGTGACGCCTTGAAGCAACCCTGTATCAATTAACACATTGCTTTCAAAATATTTGGATTGAGATTCGCTGTGAGAATCTGTTTGCATCAATTTGTAGAGGAAATATCAAAAAATATATCAGCTGGTGTGAAGAAACAACATACAGTGGTTTTAATCCAGAATATGCTGCTGAAACACAGTGTGCACAAAGCTAAGGAATGTAGAGAGATGCTTGTGACAAAGATTCTTGGATAGGTGGTAAAGAAGGGTTTGGCAGTATATAGCAATGCAAGCTTTGTATTGGTGTATACGCGATGTCAAACACGTGATTTGAAAATGAGGGCGGCTGATGCCAATGGTAGTACAGTTGAGCAATGCCAACACTTATGAGCTCTGTGGGGTACAGTGTAAGCTGGTCGCGGGGAACCATTGGTCTGCAAATTAAGATAACTGTTATCAACTCCGACCCGGCCCCTGCGACAATAGGTGT